GGCTGAGTCAACCTTGTCAGAACTGAACTACTAGCAGCAGGCAGAATTAGCCTGCAATCCTGCATTCTAACCACCGCGCCACTGTGGCTCTTCAGTCCTCAACTTACAACTATTCATTTAGCGATCATTTGAAGTTAGAACTGAATTTTAATGTTAATGTTGATTATCTTAATATTGTAATATTTTATCTTGTTTTTACCTTGCTGTACGCCTCGTGAAGTTGCCTCTAGGTGAGATGGGCAGCATGTATATACTCCCACAGTTGGCACAAGGTGCTGAATATTGGGTAGATGCACCAACCCTTTGCCCTTTGCCCCTTGCATCCCCATCCCTGGTAAATAAGATAGATCCTACATACCCAACAGATCTTCAAAAGCTTTCTTGAGCTCCTGTGGATTTTCCATCACAAAGACATGCCTTTCCCCTGACTTCTTCGATGCAATCTCATTCATGGCAGTCAAGTCAACGTTGAGGTTCCCAATGCCAAAAACATAGATATCTGAACGAAACAACAACAGGACATGCACTGATGATGTTACCTAGTTGGGTAAAGAAATGTCTGCAAGAAAACAACCAAGGACCCCTCAACAGGACGTATGTTAGCCTGGGACATTCTGGAAGAGAAGACAGGACAGTCCCCAAATCTTATCAAGGGATTCTTTCAGTTTTATCAAGCCAGTTAAATAGCAGTGAAATTCAAGGGTGAATGGGCTGGATGCACTGAAAGCCATAAGAAATAAGAAAAATAAGAGCTTGACCCTTTCGAATTCATTTTGAGGGAAACTAAGCAGACAGGAGATTTCCAGCAAACCTGTGATGAATCCAGCAGGGGTTTTATACTATATTTTAAGACCTCCGAGAACATTTGCAGTGACCTAAAATGTTATTACTTTTCTCTGTGAGTTGCCCAGGAAAATACTTTAACTGAAATGACTTTTCCTGGAGAGACGCAGGAGTGATTGCATTTTCTATTTTCAATTATTGCTGCATGAAGTACTGGCCTGGCTTTTTAACAATTGTTCCTGCTGTTTTCCAGCAACAGCTTTATCTCTTTAAGAAGAAACTGGACAGCCATTTGTCCGAAATGGTATAGGGTTTCCTGCCTGAGCAGGGGGTTGGACTAGATGACCTCCAAGGTCCCTTCCAACTTTATCATTATTATTATTATTATTATTATTAGTAGTAGTAGTAGTAGTAGTAGTAGTAGTAGTAGTAGTAGTAGTAGTAGTAGTAGTATTGCTCTATTTGGGCAGCCTCTTTATCTGAGTTGCTTCTTCTAGTATGTTAGTCATAGATGAGCTGCTAAATTACTTACTTCCCTATTGGCCCTAATGGGCAGCACATCTCCTGAGTTTTAGACAGGAGTTGGCAAAAATAAATAAATAAAAATAAATATAAAACAATAAAATAAAGAATGTTGAAATATTTAATTTAACAATAGCTGGAACAGTAAAGTGGATAATGGGCTAAAACACGCACAGTGGTAGTTGATTGATTGGAGTGTATGGGCTCCTGCATGAGGCAATCTACGTTTTGATTGGTTGCTGGCTGTAAAAGGGGCGTTTCCCTTTTTTCCCACCTTTTTCTTCTGTGAGCCCTGTACGGAGTGTACGCTTTGTGATTTACCTCACAATGCTCCTGTTTGCCTGGCTATCTTGACTGATGTAAAGATGGATGTTAAATATATTTATTTATATAAAACTACACGTCCGTGACAGCGTCTATCTATGACTTCATTTGGACACCTGCTATGCAATTCCCTGACAATAAATAAATAAAATCTTGTATATTTTGGAGAGCATTTACCATGGGTTGGACCCCGAGCTACAACCCTCCCCTGACAGTGGAAAGTGAAAGTGAAAGTAAAGCTTTTCTGCAGAACTGAGAAAGTGATGCTTCACAGTGAAGCTGACCTCAGCTTTTCATGACACTTGGATTTTGTGAGAGGTTGAGGAAGTGAGTGGGGTCAGGGTGAGGAAAAGATGTTTGGTTTATCTAGAACAGGCATGTCAAACTCGCGACGTCACGTGACGTTGCGCGATGTATCGTGACTTTTTCCCCATTGCCGGCAATGGGGTGGGTGCAGTTTCGGCGTAACGCATCCAGCCTGTGGGCCAGCAGTTTGACATGCCTGATATAGAAGAAGCAATTTGAGAGAAGCAAAGAAGTCCAGATATTAGAGGTAACCTGTGGAAAAAGCATTTCAAGAGGAGAAAAAAGTGTTTTATTGAGGATCGTCTCATAACAATTGGAGAAAATTAAGTCTTGTGGCTTCATAAAGGTTAATACATTTATTTTGCTTTCTGCGGTGAACTCTAGGCCGCAATAGCTAAGCTATACAGGTAGTCCTCTACTTATGACCAGAGTTATGACTGACCAAAACAGGGGGCTTATGACCCAGATTCAAAATTCTGACAGTCGCACCCACTCCACAGTCAGGTGACAAAACTTTGGGCACTGGGCAATATGATTACATGTACAGCCCTTTGCAAAGTCCTGCATTCACATGACCACATTTTACGACAATTTTGCCCAAAGCTGGCACTTCTAGTTTTTGGCAAAACCAAAAGTGAACCATTCCTTCACTTAAGAACCACAGCTTTTGCATAATGACCGTGGCATCTGCTTTACAACTGCTGCAAAAAAGGTCATAAAATTGAGTCAGTCATGTGACCAACTCATTTTAGGATTCTCATGAGATAGGACCATAATGGCCAAGCTCCATTACGGTCATATGTCGAGGATTGCCAGTAGTGGGTTTTCAACTGAGCAGTAGTTATACAGAGGTTCAGTCTGCTGTGGGAAAATAAGGTTCTTGAGGGGAAGGTTGCTATCGCAAAGTAACACAATTCATTCTTTTGAAAAATCAAGCATTTTCTTGACTCACCGAGATAATCGTTTCTGTTTTTTCTCACATTCACCATACCTTCTATGCTGCGCACCGCCAGTTTGGGAGAAGCCCCAAGATTGGATTTTCCTGAAGACAAAAAAATAAAAAATAAAAAATTAGAGGACAAAATCGAAGAGTAATTCCCAACTCATGTGCTTACAGCAAAACAAGTGAGCCAAGAGGAATAAGTTGTGGAAAACTCAAGGATGATCATACATTGAACTGGCGTTGTGTTCTTAAATGAAAAAGAAAAATTATGCAAGCTAAGAAAAATGAAAAGAAAAGAAAAATCGCTTTGATTGATAGGCTGGAGTCTGGCTTTGAAACACAAAGAGATTTCAGACTGAATTTCTATCTAGTGGAGGCTTTTCAAGGCCACAAGCAGAAGGTGTTTCCCTCACAGATGATCAGTTAGAACTGAAGAAGGTTCATGGGTGAGAAGAGAAACATTTTCAAAGAAAATGTTTTAAGCATGCGTGTGTTTTAAGTCCAGTTGCCTTTTGGAAAAGCATCTTTGGGACAGCCATGACCTGGATGACTGAGAATCTCCATCGACATTCCGACGTCTGTCACATTAAAACACACACATGCCTAAAACTGGGCAGCAATTTTTGAAAGCACAGGGAGCAAAGCATTCTGGGAAGGTGGTTGTATACCACATCGTAAAATCAATTCTGAAATTATGAGGATTAGGTCTTCCTCCACCCCACCTCCCCCAAACCCCTGGGGAATTGGAGGAAAAGAGAATCGGAAAAATGAGCTGTCCTCCTCAATCAATTCTTTTGAAAGGTACATAGATGTTCATGTCTATGTGCCTGTTGGTGGCCGATTTGCCTGAATGCCGGGCTTCCAGGAATTCTCTAACATTTTTGAACTTGGCATGATCTAGGATGCTCACAGTTCCCCAGTTGAAACTATGGTTAATTCTGTCCATGTGTTGATAATTATCATACAGCTTTTGAATAAATATTTTTCTTTTCTAATATTTCTTATATATTTAATATAATTTATATATATATATTATAGTCAAGTTTATTATTGTATGTTAGAGTTAAAGTATGTTAATTTTGTTTGTATTATGAATGGATAGCTTAATTTAGACTTGGGATGTTATGTATTTATCCCTGTACTCAGTTCTGGGAAGTCCGGGGAGGGAGGGGGGAAGGGGCTGAAGGGGTAGAATTATATAAAATTTGGTGTATTTATAAATATAATGTAAATGTTTGTCTTTAAGAAGAGGAGATGATCGGCTAGTACCCCCAAACTGCATCCGAGGTGGTGGAAAAGAAGGTGATGGGATGTGTAGGATAGTTGGAAAGGAGGAAAGAGGAGAGGTGGTGGTTAAGAGGGGGAGGAAGGAAGAGGGAAGTAGGTAGGAAGGTTGAGGGAGTGTGGATGCAGGGGGGGGGGACCGCCGATTATTTCTGAATACTTACTGAGTAGGCTTTTTATGTGTTTGTTTTTCTAATGAAATGCACCATATTTGTATTATTTGTTCATATGTTTATTTGAAAAATTAATAAAAATTTGTAAAAAAAAAAAATTCTGTCCATGTGTTGTGCAATTAAAGACTTTGCAACATATCTTCTGATTGCAAGTTGGTATTCACGGTTGCGCTCTGCTAGTCTCCTGCCTGTTTGTCCCATGTAGTGGTTGTTACAGTCTTTACACTGTATGCTGTAGATCAGCAATCCCCACCTTGGCATGGCACGGGGGGGAGGGAAATGGCAGGCACACGTGCGCCCCCACAGCTCCATTTGTGCAAGTGGCATGCACGTGCACCCCCACTCACACGAATGGAGCTTCACATGTGAGCGGAGGGTGCTTACACTCATGCACGAAGCTCCAGTCAGGCAAAAGGCAGGCACTTCCACTCACACGCAAAGCTCCACTCGCGCGAACGGAGGGCGCTTGTGCTCGCGCGCCATGCTCCACTTGTGTGAGTGGAAGGCGCTCGTGCACGAATGGAGCTTCGCACATGAGCACAAGTGCCCTCCACTCATTCAAGTGGAGCTTCACACGTATGCACGCGTTTGCCTGCTGCTCACGCAAGTAGAACTTCACGTGCGCGTGCTTGCCCATTTTTTCCCATGGCCCAGTTTTGAACAAACCACGGCCCAGTAGTGGTAGGAGATTGGGGTTTCCTGCTGAAGATGACTCCTGCTTTTTCTTCTGGGGCTATTGGGTCTTTTGGTTTACGTAGGATGTTTTAGAGCTTTAGTTGGTTTGTGTGCTGCCATCTGGTTATAATAGTCTGTGGTCTCCGAGATGTTTTTGATGCATGGCACTGTTATCCTTTTCATAGCTCATGTGGTAAGAGCAACACAGTGAGAGCGAAACCCCACTCCCTCCCGGAATTGGGTATGTCTAGTTTAACGAAGAGAAGGACGAGGGGGGGACATGATAGCAGTGTTCCAATATCTCAGGGGCTGCCCCAAAGAAGAGGGAGTCAAGCTATTTTCCAAAGCGCCTGAAGGCAGGACGAGAAGTAATGGGTGGAAACTGATCAAGGAGAGAAGCAACCTAAAACTAAGGAGAAACTTCCTGACAGTTAGAACAATTAACCAATGGAACAACCTGCCTCCAGAAGCGGTGAATGCTCCAACAATGGAAGTTTTTGAGAAGAGACTGGACAGCCATTTGTCCGAAATGGTATAGGGTTTCCTGCCTGAGCAGGGGTTGGACTAGATGACCTCCAAGGTCCCTTCCAACTTTATTATTATTATTATTATTATTATTATTATTATTATTATTATTATTATTATTATTATTATTACTACTACTACTACTACTACTACTACTACTACTACTACTACTACTACTATTAGTTTGGGTAATGAAACTTCTGCAAAAAAGCTCAGAGAGCAAAAAAGCTCAGAGAGCACCAAGGACCCATTTCAAGCCTGCGCTATAAATATTCTCCTATATTGTACAATAGCCATGACTAGACAGTGAATGGTCTCCCCCACCCCCACACCCACAAAACCCCACCTCCACTTTCAATTTCCCCATTTCTCCTTACCATCTGTAAGCAGAATGATAGCATGGCGGACTTTGCTCCATTGATCTTCTGAAAATGTTTCTTCGTTAATCATCATCTCGTAAACCGCAGAAAGGGCCGCATGAATGTTGGTTCCAGTTGCATTGCCGTGATCTGCAAAAAAAAAAAAAAAAAAAAAGGATTAGTCTTGAGAGGTTCTTCTTTTTAAACCTCATTTGACGGACAATATAAGGCACCATGCAGAGGCAGCGAGAGGGAACCGCAACAGATAGCATCATTCTCCAAGGTTTCATGCATTTCTTTTATTTGTGGTTAAAAAAAAAAGTGGGAAGAGTCTGCCTACGTGATTGAACGTGGATGAAAAAGAAGGCTGCCATAGATTCCAATTAAACATTTACTTTATCGGTGGGGCTTTATTTACATGATAGCAGTGTTCCAATATCTCAGGGGCTGCCACAAAGAAGAGGGAGTCAAGCTGTTCTCCAAGGCGCCTGAAGGCAGGACCAGAAGCAACGGATGGAAATTAACCAAAGAGAGAAGCCACCTAGAACTAAGGAGAAACTTCCTGACAGTTAGAACAATTAACCAATGGAACAACCTGCCTCCAGAAGTGGTGAATGCTCCAACACTGGAAGTTTTTAAGAAGAGACTGGACAGCCATTTGTCCGAAATGGTGTAGGGTTCCTGCCTGGGCAGGGGGTTGGAGTCGATGACCACCAAGGTCCCTTCCAACTTTATTATTATTATTATTATTATTATTATTATTATTATTATTATTATTATTATTATTATTATTATTATTATTATTATTATTATTATTATTATTATTATTATTATTATTATTATTATTATTATTAATTATTTATTTATTTATTTATTTATTTATTTATTTATTTATTTATTTATTTAAGGGTGTAGCATCAACAGAGGTCGTGCTGTGGGGTGAATGCTGCTATCAAAAAAAAAACCCAAGAAACAACTGGCTAATTTTTTTAAATAGCAAAAATCCTCAAAACAATCCAACCAATCTGGGGATTTAATTATCTCCAGGTGTCTGTGTCAGCCTTCTCAGGTAGACGAGAGAAGAAACCCCATCAGATGAGCTAATTCTCCTTTATTCTAAGGCTACGTTAAGCAAAAATCTTGCAAATCTGAAGGTAACAAATCTCCCATTGTCTCTTTGTATCACTGGATAGATAGGGAGGTTGCTTTCTGAGTTTCTTTCTCTGTGCATCATACATCATCATCCCCTTATTTGATTCTTCCCTAAACAGCATTTCACTTCGCATGAGATGGCTGGCCATAGAAATTGGATAAATAAATTTAAAAAAAAAACTCTCTTCCCCTCTGTCTCCCAAGGCCATCCTCACATGCCATTACAGTCTATGCCAGTGGTGGCGAACCTATGGCACGCGTGCCAGGGGCGGCACTCAGAGCCCTCTCTGTGGGCACACAGGCCATGCCCTGGAGATGGCAACCGTCCCTCTTCAACCAGCCGCCCGCTAACTCGCCGAGGTCCCACATG